AATTTAAATTGCTGTGTATGTGGTGCTGTTGGTAGGAGGAAAACCATTATTTTTATAAAAATGTTCAGTGGACTGTTTTCCAGAGATAATCTATTATTAAGTCTGCTGTATTCATCTTGAGAGTCTGGAAATATGTTAACCAAATTTATAAAAGCTTTAGGTGAGAGCAGGAAGGTCTGCTGAGAACTCTCCAGGAACTACTGCCCTGAATTCTAATCACAGGAATTGTACTTGCTACCTGACATATCTGCGGGTGTGGAGCAACTGAACAAAGGAGGGGTACATGGGAAACCTAGCCAGGAGGCCCCTTCCACTGATGGTGGAGAAGAAGCCATGCCCAGAAATGAGCCTTACCTCTCACACCATCAGTCCTCCAGATGTCTACAGTAGGAACCAAACTGCCTCAGTCACCATGGCTGGTGGTCCTGGTCCCCACACAAAGACAGCGAGATGGTGGCAGGCCGTAGGCTGGTGTGATGGACTCAGGCAGACCTACACTTATATCCTGGTTCAGCTTCACATCCTGGTCACTGCAATACCTTGAACTGGTTACTTACTTGCTCAAGACCTCAGATCCTTTGTCTATAAAACGGGGATAATATGTGCTTCCCAGGGTCAGTCAAGGGCTAGTGACAGCATGTGTAAGTTCCTCATGGAGTGCCAAGTACCCAGAAGCCTCTCCATAAATGACAGCTCTGATTATGTTGGATAGTGAGAACATAGCCTACTCTTAGACAGAAGTGCTTGTCATTAGGAAAGATGTGCCTCAGCCTTTGGCCTGTACAACCTGAAAGCCCCCATGAGGGCTCTTTCTGGAACTGACTCTAGGCTTGGAGGAGCTCTCAGTCTCTGCACACAAAAGCAAGATCCTTGAAAATGAATAATGTGTTAATTCAGATATTTAACTGTTTAGGTTTTAACCATAGATTGAGGCAAGAACGTCTCTGTTCTCTGTACAGGGACTTTCAACTCTTTACCTCTTGATACTTATTTTGATAACTTCATTCATCCTGTCCCATTCATTTATTTATTCATTTATGTATTCATTCTTTCATTAACTATTTCCTCAACCTCTGATGGGGGCCAGAGGCCGTGCGAGGCATTGAGGATACAGCACTTCAGGAATTTGCAGACTAGTCTCCCCACCTCCACTGGTACAGATATCACCGTGTACGCACTCGAGCTGGCCTTTTCCATCCTCTCAGCCTCTGCTTGTGTCTCTTCAGCCATCCGCTTCTAGACCACTGAGCCTTCAACTTCATTAGAAAAAGTACAGGCACACTGTCTAGCTGTAAGACATCCAACACAAACCACAACTTTGCTTATTCTGCCTCAACAGGCGATAGAGCAGGAGGAATCTGAGGAAAGCATGTCGTTACCACCTTGCTGTAGAGAGCATGAGACCAGCACATGGGGTAGGACAGCCCCATTGACTTTACACCGAGCTTCACATCCCAAGTCAAGGTAGAAGAACAGGAGAGGAGCTGGAGGGGTCGCATAACATTGTTTTGTTTCATTTTTCAAGGCACACATTTGTAGAGCAATTTGTGTCTTATTTAGAATTACAAGTTTCAGAACAACAGAAATGCTCTAATTCAAAAGCCTTACTAACACACATGCCAGGCCAAAAAGGGATGCTTTCTGTGCTGTGTCCTGTTTTAGCTGGGTGGGTGTGTGTGTGTATTTTACTGCAATCTTCAATGAAGTGAGTTAATTGTGAAGAGACTATAATCTCATTTATCTGCATCTAATCAGGACATAAATTGGGGTACTTCACTGAGCCAAGAAATTCCATTAAGTTATCCCAGGGAGGGTAACCTCAGAGGAACAGTATATTGAATGCCTACTATGTGACAAGCACAATACAAAATGCGTGATATGTTCAAAGGAGGTCACTTCTCACAGCAGGCCTTCTGAGAAGTTGTTATAGTCCTCTACCTTATATTTAAAGAGATAGTTGCTCAGCAAAGTAAAATGACTTGTCCAGTATTCCAAGTCAAGTGACAGGGCCAGATTTGGGCTCAATTCTGATGGGCTCCAAGGCTTGTCCCTGCTACACCATATTGACTTCTCTTCATTGAGTGAAATTTCCTACAGAACCCTGCCCAAGCCGGAGGGAAGGATTGAAGGAGAATGAGGAAGCCCCTGAGGCCATGTGGAGTGTGGTTTTCCAAGTTGGCCAAGTCACACAACCCCCCTTCCTAAGTGGGCCCTGTTACTGGTTTGGCAGAAGGCTGCTGAGGGTAATGCAGTGGAAAGCGTATGTTTTCAGACACAAGCCCTAGAAAAGGTAGCCTCAGTAGCGCATATGTGAAATGGGCACTCCAGTCACCATGGTAGCAGTGTTGGAAATGCGTGGAGGTGAGGGAGTGAAGCCTCTGCTCACATGGCTGTTCCTTGTGCCAAACGCTGATGGTGCCTTGTGTCCCCGTGGGAGGTGGGTGATGAGAGCTGTCTCCTTTCAATGTTCATTGATCACAGAGAGCCTCCCACCAGAGATTTCCATGACCTGGGCAGGGACTCTGCACTTGAATCAGTATTCTTCCATGCAGGGTTCTTCCATGCAGGGTTCCTTCTCAGAAGAGATTGGCCATGGATTGAGCAGTTTCCCCTGTACTCTACTCTAGGATTATTAGAAAAAATAATTTTGGAAATGGGCTGCCATGTCAATACCATTTAAGCAGATTTGCTCACTAATTTCTGTATTTCCAGAAGAGTAAAAAAGAAAAAAAAACACCCATTTTAGCCAACTTTATTTTTAGAAAAGTATTTTATTCAAACATCCCCTTACTTATTACAGACATAAATACATGCATTCAGACAAATGAATTCACGGGAGAACCGTATAAAGTAATTGGCACATCACTTCAAGATGCTTTGTCAGTTACTGGAGGAATTTGGTGCCTCTAACTTTAATCTTTTCCATTAAAATATCCATTCTGCCTTCAGATATGAAGCCCGTAATATTTTAGACTGCCTCTGTGGATCTGTTAGCTTTGCTTGTCAATTTAATTTGTGGCTCTATGACTTCGGGTGGCTTGTTAGTTTGTACATGAAAACATGTGGTCTGCAAATGATGTTTAACATTCCAGGCTTAAGACCTAGCCTCTTCCCAGAGTGACTGGACATACAATACATATGGAATTGGCATATTTCGTATGCAACCAGCCTAATTGTAATGGTGATGATGATGTATGGAATGGCAGATGTTCAGAACTGCAAAGAAGCTCGCTACTGTTATTATATACCTTAAGTGTTATAGTACTTTTACTCTTTGCAATACATTTTATATGCACTATCTCATTTGATTCTCAGAGCTTCCTTGTGCTGGATTATTTCCCTCTTTATGGTTAATGAAACTGAGACACCGAGAGAGAGGTTTAGGAACTTGTCTAAGACCACAGGGCAAAATGGATTGTAAAAAATTGCCAGAGAACAAAACCAGATGTGTTCCAAACAATCCAGGTCACCAAAGCTCCGTTAGGTGTGCTGTGTGTCTGTGCCTAATAATTACCATTTCTCCTGCCCTCCTTTGGGGAAAGGAGCTCTGGAGCTATGGGAATAGAAGGGCTTAGACGTGGGAGGTGCAGAGTCCAAGAAGCAGAAACTGTATCATCAGCTCCACATAAATGACTGTAACCTGCCTCACAGCCACTTGCGTAGACTATTGGAGCAGCCTCATCCCCGGACTCCCTCCTTCCATATCACCTGCACAGTATCCTACTTGTCTCCAGAGGATCCTACATGTCACCAGAGATCTTTTTTAAATGCAGATCTGAGCATGTCTCTCCATGGCTGCAGACCCATCACTGGTTCCCCACTGCCGTAAGGATGAAGCCTAGAATGGATGGTTTTGCAGTCTGGTCCTAGGGTTTCACCCTGGCCAATCTCTCTTCTCTCCTGCCACACTAAGTTCCTTGCCTTTGCAGAACCCATTGTATTCATCCTCACCCTCCATTTTTCCTGCTTTCTCTGCTTAGAACACATTTATGATGAACTCCTTAAATGTCACCTTCTCTGTGGAGTCTTCCCTGACTTCCCCTAGAGGACCCAGAAGCGTCCCTCTCCCCCCGCATGCCACAGCACTTTTCCCAGCCCTGTTTCCTGTTATTTCTCTTCTGGGTTGGTCTCCCTCAAGAGGCTTGAAACTACCTATGGGGAGAGGCTGTGGTGAATGCCTGTATTCTCTTACCTCTCCTGTGAGTCTTACAGACTTTGAATGTAAGAGAATTAATGAATAATGTACATATATGAGGGCATGAAGAATGAATGAGAAACCTTGAACAGCCTGTGCCAGCAGGAAACCTGATGTTCCAAGGTCAGATGGAATGAGACCTATTCCCCTCTCTCTCTGAGTGGGACCATGGAGAGATGTTGTCCCTGTGTCACATGACCTCTTAGGTGAAATGAGAGGCAGACAGGAAGGTGAGCTGGGCCTTTGCCCGGCGCCCTGGCTTAGAGGAAAGCATATCAGGATTGACTAGGACTGATCCTCTTGGCCCAGTGAACTCTGACTTCTGCCTACCACAAGGTTCTCACCAAAGTTTTTTGTTTGTTTGTTGTGTTTCTTTTGAGTCAGAGTCTCACTCTAACGCCCAGGCTAGAGTGCAATGGCACGCTCACAGCCATTACAGCCTCAACCTGCTAGACTCAGGTGATCCTTCTGCCTCAACCTTCCAGTAGCTGGAACTACAGGCGCATAGCACTACGCCCAGATAATTTTTATTTTATTTTATTGTAGAGACAAGATCTCGCTCGGGCTGGTCTCGATCACCAAAGCTTTTAGCAGTGGCAACTCTTCCACGAGACTGGAGGTCGGGGGGGTCTTCAGCAAGAGTTCCTACAGGCAGCATCATAGATTTTCAGAGTCTAGGCCATTTGGCCAGGAAGAGTCCTCACAGCTATTAGCATACTGGGGGATGGAATTTAAATCCATGAAAGGCCTGGAGTAGGGGGCACTCTGAGCCAGGGCATCCCATCTTCATGTGATTGTCTTCCAGATGATGTCTGTCCTCATGAACACCATTGTCTTTGAAGACTGTCGGAACCAGTGGTCAGTATCCAGGCCTCTCCTGGGGCTCATCCTGCTCAATGAGAAGGTAAGTTGGGGCAGGGGGTCACAGGAGGGGGTCCCTGAGAGGAGAGAGAGGCTATGCACTAGGCTGAACTGTGACTATGAAGGACAATGGAGCAGAACCAATTGAGTTTCAGCTGGGACTCTGAGAATTCTGTGACAAGGTTATATTCCCAGAAGGCCCTTCCCCAAGGCCTCAGATCTTCTTCAGTCAAGCAGAGTCCCCACTCACTGTGTAGGTTGTTCACCCAGTAGTGTTTCAGGCTTACTCTCACTCCCCTCCCTCTTTTCCAGGGAAATTCTGAGCAACAACACTCACTGCCTTCTCCCTTGGCCAATTTTTGTATCTGGTATCCCCCATTGCCCTGGGTGGTGGCAGCAGTCTGTCAGGGATTCCTGCACAGAACCCGTACCCTTCATCTGGGGGGCATGAGACTCCCACTTCTTAAGTGTACTCACCACCCAAGCTGTCTCCCCAGCCTCCCCAGCTTCCTTCTGAACCTACCCTTGTCTCCCCAGCAGTCAGTAGGAACAGTGCATTACAGCCAGGGAGAATGAATTGTCTGTACAATAAGACAGTACTGGGAAAAAAGACAGTGAGATTAGAGGCAGCTGCATGCATTAAAATTCAAACTAAAATCCCAGCCTTGGAAGGAAACTAATAGAAGAAGAAAATATATCAAAAAGAGAAGAGCTGTCTCATCATTCACCTGTGCTGAAGTATCCAATTTTAGCCACATTCAGTAGCACTGTCATTCATCTTCCCTCGGTGTTATTGTGATTTAGATCCAAGCTCTATAAAGGAGAGCAGTTCTTTTAAAATGATTGAGAGGGAATAAGGGCAAATTCGGTGTTTAGAAAAAGCTTATGACATCACAGTATTATACTTTACCGATGGAGGCAATATTCCACAGTTTGGGGCGAAAAACTAATAATTTCCTACTTGGTGTGAGTCACCGCGTTATTCTGAAAGGGAGAAATAAGTCGTTTTGCGCATTCCCAATCTTGTTCAAGAAGACAGTGTGGTTTAAGTATAGTGCCTCTGATATATGGTATTTAAGTATTAGTCTGACTACATATTAATTATGTGTGTTTTTTGATGTGAGCTGTTTTAATGTATGATAGAAATTAAATATCATGCTTTTTGGGCTTGGAAGGATAAACACATGACTGGCAAAATGTCTCTGTGCTGAAATTAGGCTGTTTCCAATGGTTGGAGCTGTGTTTAACATCAGAACTTGTGTTTGTATAAAAGCCCACAGACCCCAGCAAAGAAGAAGGGGCGTGTGACCAGGTGTGACATTTTTCTTGGTGCCGGAAAGCTTTCCCCAAACTAACCAAGCCCCACCAGGATCCTGCCTCAGTGAAGCAGACCCATCCTAGCCCCCAAGAAAGAGATTGGAACAAAGCCTGGAGTTTTCAAGGAGTGATTCACTGCAGCCAGGAAAGATGATGAGGCCTGAGGAAGGACCCTTGGCCTTGCCTTCAGTCACCCAAAATGTTCTCTGGGCATTTCTGGTTAAGTTCTTCTCTTCAACCTGGGGAACCTTTCCTCTCCCTGCCTTTCTGCGAATGGTGGAGATGAGAGTCAGGAAGACCATGTGTCAGGTCCCACAGAGGAGGCACAGACTCTGTCCACCTGAGCAGTGGCAATAGAACAATTATGGCAAGCAGTTTTTATGAGAAGCAATAAAAGAATGTACACCTAGGAGTGCCTGTTGCTTAGATTTTCTTTAAGGGCTTGAAGTTCCAAGTGACCCTGGCCAAAAACTCCTCTGAACATCAGGGAGCCCTAGAGGATCGGAGCTTGGCTAGCCACCCCCCAACAGCTTTCTTAGGCCAGGTGTGGAGTCGGCTCTGACACAGCTCTGTCTCCCAACAGTGTTTCAGTGAACTGAGAGCGAGTCTGATAGACAGCCAGCCGCTCCCCAAGCAGGAGGCTCTTGCCCAGTGCTTCAGGAACCTGATGGAGGGAGTGGAGCAGAACCTGTCCATCAAGAACAGAGACAGGTGAGCCCTGCCCAGTAGGCATCTTGGGGGGTGTAGACATTCCAAGTGTGTTGAAAATAACGGGATTGTGCCTAACACAAGTCCTCTTCTGTGGATATAGCTTTTCTATGACACCTTGTGACACTAGACTCAACTCAGTTCCATTCAGTAAATACAACTGTGTATCTGCTTCCATCTAAGCGTCATGCTAGGCACTACACAGGGATGCAGAGATTAGTAACATGGAGCCTTTGCCCTTAAGTAGTCTATAATTCAACAAGAGAGATATGAAAAATAACTGTAATTGAAAAGATCAAAAGAAGGAACACTCAGGTCAGCTACGGAAGATGAGGGAAGGCTTCCTGGCACCAGAACAAACAGGCTTTGAGGTCAGACAGACCCTAGTTACAGCAGAGGAGGATGACTGTAGTTAACAGCATTGAACTATACATTTCAAAATAGCTATGAAATGACAAATACATTTATCCATGTGATGGACACCCTAATACCCTGCCTTGATCATGACATAATCTACGCATGTACCCCACAAATGCATGCAAATATTATGAATCAATTAAAAAAATTTAAAAAGAAGAAAGAAATGTCATCCCTGATCTTTGCAGACTGTGTGGCAGTAAGGCAGTTGACTTTTCTGCTCCTCGGTTTCTTCACCACTAAAAAGCAAATGACAATAATTGATTGTGATGTTTAAAGGACAGAATGTAGTGAAGCATGGTAACTACACATAAGACCCACAGTAAATTACTAGTTCCTTCCTCTGCCTGTTCTTTAAGAATGCTTGGTGTCAGCTGGGCTCGGTGGCTCAGCCTGTAATCCCAGCTGAGACGAGTGGATTACCTGAGAGGGAGGCCGAGACGAGTGGATTACCTGAGCCCATGGGTTCAAGACCAGCCCAGGCAACTTGGCGAGACCTCGTCTCTACAATAAGTTTTTAAAATTGACCGGTAGTGGTAGCACAAGCCTGTAGTTCCAGCTACTTGGAAGGCTGAGGCGGAAGGCTCACTGGAGCCCAGCAGGCTGACACTGGTGTGGCTGTGAGTGTGCCACCACACTCCAGTCTGGGCTACGGAGTGAGACTCCAACTCAAAAAAAAAAAGAATGGCTGGTGTCTCAGTTGCTAATGAAATGCAAATGAAAGGAACCTGAACTTAACACCTAGGCCTGAATTCATTCATTCATTTGGTTCACAAAACTTTACTGAGAATCTGCTATGTGCAAGCATTGTGGTTACCAGTGGTAAAATACTTATTCAAGGCTCCTGCCCTCACAAAGCTTACATTCTAGTGGAAGAGACTGGCAGTAATGAATGACAGAGAAAGAAAATGTGTTCAGGAAAAAACTGCTTGTGTCATTCTTTCATAAATGTGGTAGAAGAGATGCTACATCATGTGAAATGTAAACCGTCATCATCCTAATAACCACAGGAAATCCTGGAGTTGCCAGCCTGGGTTTTGGTAATACAAGACCATGTCAGATGGGATCTGCAGACATGTACTCATGGCTGTTCAGTTCACTCTAGGATCCTCTGTCAGGCAGAAAGGAGCAACCTCCAAAGCCAGCAGAAGAGCCTTAGTGAATGGGGAACCCTAGGTATCTTGAAGGGTACTGCTTCCCTAAGGCTTGGGAATTTGACTGCTGCCTCTTGAACTGCTCTGTAAAATGGAGTCAGGCAGCCCTCCTAATTTAATGAGAGCAATCACCAGCAAGGGCTGTTTTCCTTGTGCCAGGCACTGTGTCAAGTACTTACAGCATTGCCTCCATTGACTCAGTCCTCGCTTTCTACAATCCCTTGAGGTAACTACTTATATCAGATGCCAAGACAAGAGAAGCATTCATTCAGAATCACCTAGCTGATAAGTAGTAGAGACAGGATTTGAACCCACATGGTAAACACAGTGCCCCCTCTTTTTCATCTACTGAATTGAATTCCGTCTTCTCTTGTAATGATTACATGAGTGTATATGTAAACTCAACTCAGTGCTTGGCACATAAACTTTTGGTTCTTTTCTTTATATTCAATACCATCTATAATTTGGCTTTTTTTTTTTTTTTTTTTTTTTTTTTTTTAGTCAGAATCCCACTCTGTCACCCAGGCTGGAGTGCAGTGGCACTCTTACGGCCACCCACAGCCTGGACCTGCTGTGCTCAAGTGATTCTTCCGCCTCAGCCTTCCAAGTAGCTAGAGCCACAGGCATGTGCCACCACGCCCAGCTGATATTTTTTTATTGTATAATTTGACTTTTTAAAAAGTATTTCAAAAAGTAGAACCAAAAAAATGCACCCCTCAGAATGGTCAGAGCGGATTTGGTGGTGACCTTTGTTTTCCAGGAAGGGAGAAAGGGAGGGTGGCAGAACTGTAATGACTGTGAAAGTGGCGCCAGAGGAGCCCAGCTGGAGCCTGGATCCTCCCTCAAGAGGGGCCCTCTCCGAGGTCCTGAACCCCACAGTGGCCTTGTCATCCAAAAGTTCATACAGGCCTGGCCTTCCCACTGCCCTAACCTTTCTTCCTCTTCCCACAGGTTCACTCAGAATCTGTCCGTGTTCAGAAGAGACATGACAGAGGCTCTACGCAGCGATAGCAGCACTGAGCCGTGCAGTCTAGACATGATGAGCTGACCTGGCTTTCCTGACTATGTGCCACACAGCCTTCATCAAAAGACTCTTGAAGGTCCAGGTCCCAGGACAGGGATGTTGGCTAGCCCAGGGGAATCTATTTTTCAAACAAACAGGCAGCAAAGGCTCTACCTTTTTATAAGTCTGGCTTAAATATAAGAATGTATAATAGTGCACAAGCAATGTAAATTCAGTCTTTGCTCTGAAAAAGCAAAGGATGTATTTTCAGTCTTTCTATCAGATATTATCTTTGTTCTCATAATGCACTGAAAGGATGTAGAAACAATAACCAAAGAACATAATAAACCAGGTTTGCGCCTAAGTGTGTACTGGTTAATGGTTCTGCAATCAGGGTTGTCAATTTGTTGGAGATGCAGCCTTCAACATGGGTCCTGTATTGAGATGAATGCCACTGGAACCTGTTAAATTAGTAGTTGGTTGTGAGTCAGAAGAAGGAGCATTGGGAACGTGGGGCTGTGAGCCTGAGAGCACCACAGAGCATCCCCCAGGACTGCACGCAGGCCTCCCTGCCTCAGCTGCTTCTGATAAAGTTGAGAGACAGTAACACAATTAAATGACTTATAAACAACATTTGCTTTTCACTGGCATAAATCTGAAGTGGTTCAGTCTAGAAGAATTAAGCTGAGCAATTACTGCCTACAGAGATATTTCTTCAGAAGTACTCCTGTAGCCCCCATAAGACATTCTCAGAGGTGCCAGTGCCAGTCCTCTGCATCCATTTAACTCAAGAGAAGTTGGAGGTAACTATTAGATAGAATATTTGAAGCAACTCTGCCTTTTCAGTTCACCCAAAACAGTTCTAGGTGCTAATGTTCAGGTTTTCAGAGGACGAGGAACAGCTGGTTTCCATCCCTCTACAAAAACTCATTATTGTTGGGATTGTGGCTTATCCTAAACCTAGAACATGAAGAAGGCCTTCACAGATAGTGATATGCTGAAACGAGGCTATTAATTCAAAATTGTCACTGTCAAGTGGTTTTTGTGTTTCACAGCTTTGTTGTTATGGCTCAGATGTATAATAAATATTGTGCCTTTTATTTCTGATAAGACATGAAAAGTTGGCCCTACTGTTGAACAAGAAGTAAATCCACAGGCCCCTGTTATAATCTCATTCCTTAAACTAGTGTGTCTTGAAACCTTTCTTGATAGTTGAGTTTTACAACAGGCTTGTCATATAAAAGCAGAGTCACCCAAGTTTATCTCAAAATGTTTGTCTTCCATGTGTGAAGGAATTCAGGAAGAAATGTATCATGTACGGGATTACTACTAGTATTTAATGGATAAATAAGCTTTGACCTTAAACTATATTTCATTAGAAATGAGAAATATAATTTTCCTTGAGAAAGCAAATTCTGAATTCTGTAGAATATCAGATGTTCAGAGAAGTTTGACAAGAATTTCTGTTTCTTGGGAGCTTATAACTGCACACTCATTTCACAAAAATGTGTTATAGAAGGCCTATTTCACTTGCAAATGTCTAGTGTTTGAAAGCACCATATCATTTGCATTAAAATGCTCATTTATAAAATGTGCACTTGCTTCTCTGCCACACTGCCAGAGGTCGCCTGGTAGTTTCATATGAGCCAAGAAAGGCTTCATCAGACCTGGCCTTGGAGCGCAGTTCTCTAGGACTGGTCAGGCCCGCCCACTGCTGATGTTGGCAGGACCTGCTCGTGATCCTGGACTTGAGCACACTGTGAGGCAGCATACTTAGACTGGAGCAGACACAGCAAACGTTCGTCAAGCATCTCCTGTGCCATCTGCATACATCATCTCTCCCAGTCCTCAACAGTCCTAGAAAAGTAGACAGTATCAGTTCTGCTTTGCAGATGAGGAAACTGAGGCTCAAAATGGTTTATAACTTACAGAGAGCACATAGGCAGGATTTGAACCCAGATCTGTCTCACCTCAAAGGAATTCCTGGCCTCGTCCAAAGAAGACCTGTATTTCAGAAAGGCAAGTCAAACAAGTTAAGATTTAGATCCATTACCATTCGGTTTTCAGAACTCTGTTGTTATATAACAAGTTACCCCAAAACTTAGTGCTTAAACAACATTTATTGTATTATGGTTCCCACAGGTCAAGAATTCACAGCTGGGTCCTCTGCTTGAGGGTCTCTCTCAGGGTTACTGGCCAAGGCTGTGATCCTCTCAGGGCTTGCTGGGTCAGGGTCCACATCCAGGCTCACTCATGTTTGTTACAGGGTCAGCTCACATGAGTTGTTGCCTCAGTTCCTCACCTAAGGGGCCTCTGCACTGGCGGCTCATGACGTGGATCTTGTGTCAGCAGAACCAGGGCCAGTGCAGCAGTCTGGGAGGTAAGGTCACTGTCACCTAATCTTGGAAGGGCCCTCCCACCACTCCTGCTATATTCTGTTCATGAATAAATCTCTAACTCTGGCCCACACACGGGGGAGAGACTTCTCAAGGAACACATCACTATGGAGGCGGGGACCACGGGGAGCCATTCTCAGAGCTGTTGGCCACAACTCTCTCAACCGGTCTTTGCTGGAGAGGCTGAGTTTGGGCTAGAAGTTTTCTTTCTTGAAACCTAGAAAGGAATCCTGCTTTTCCTTCAAGGGCCAAGTTCCATTCTGAACACTTCTGAGGGAAAGGAAGGGGGAAGCTGGGACCTTTAAGGCTCACATGCACACTCATGAGAACTGGTTTGGGACTGTGCCCCACCCCCAAGCCGCCGGAGTCTGCCTTGGTGAGGGACATGGGACCCTTGGAAATAGACCTGGAGCCCCACATGGGGCAGTTTCTAGGGGCAGTCTATCCCAAGGATAAAACAAGTATGCAAGGACTACAGACCTGTGCACAGAAGACAGCTACTGGAACTTACATGGTCTATTCAAATCCACCTGTAGTGAAAGGACTCGGATCCAGCAACAGGAAAAAGTACACAGTGCCGGCCAGGCCACAGGGCCTGCCACTGCACAGACACTTTCAGAGTGGGGGTGAGATGGCAGGATGGGCTCCATTTGCTCCCCTCACCCTTCCAATGGGATTTGAGCATACAGATATGTGCTTGTCCCGCGGGGCTTGAAGTCACACCAACTGCTGCCACTGATGCTCAAGCAGAAAACCATCTGAAGGGCTTCTGGCTTTGCTCAATGTTTGCCTTCCACACTGACTTCAGAACCTGACCTCTGACACCTGCTGTATCCTGCCTGTGTTCTAGATGGGTTCTCTTCCGTGCTTTCCAATCAGGCTTCTCTGGGATGGGGGGCAAAGGAGCGCAGGGACCTGCGCTGTGTGTGATGATCTGAACTGTGCAGAAAGGGCCTCTGGGCCTTCCAGCCTCCTTTCCACTGGCCCCAGTGACCTAGAAGTACCCTCAGGTTATGGTAGGTACCCTCAGGTTATGGTAGGGAGGCCCCTTTTAAAATACACAGCTGGCCTACCATGCACCATTAGCTGAGACTCATGACCAGGTTAGCTCCCTGCCAGCTATAGATAGCTGAACACAAGAGCCCAAAGCAGAGTCGGATTGGTGAGAGAAATTGGACGATTTGGCATACGGGAAACCTCGTCTAGCTGGGGGCTGGTTCAGCAGTTTGGGGAAGCAGCTTTTGAGAGAACGCAGCTTCTCACGCTGAGTAGAGAAAGGAACACCTGAGGGGAGGAGCATGTAGAGCAGAAGGGGAGGAAGGAAAGTTTCAAGAGGAACCCCAAATAATCAGAAACTGTCACTTACTGAGTGCTCACTAAGTACTGCAAATTGCTACCTCATTTTATGCTTCCCGGTAAGATGCCATTATCCCCATTTTAGAGATGAGAAACCTGACAGGCTGACTTAAGGCCACGTAACTAGAAAGTGGACAAGCCAGGATTTAAAGATCTGCCCGACTGTAAAACTCATGTTTCTTTTCCACTGTAATCCTCGAGCTGGGTTCTGCACAGCAGGCCTTGGGGGGCAGCTGGGTGGGAGAGATGGTTGTGGAACCCTCTGGGGCCCCTAGATGGGACTGGGTACTCCAGGGAGAGGCCAGTCCAGGGCCCAGGCCCTCTGTGTGTTGCATCCGTGGGTTCTGCCACCAATTCCTCCTCCTCCCTGAAGTTTATAAAATCATTCTTGAGACTTTTTAATGTTTTATTGAGGTGCAAGTTTACGATGACAGCAAACCTTTCAAACTACAGCAAGAGTAACCTGCCTCCTTGGCATATTAAAAAATAATGCTAGTGTCGGTTTTTACGTGCCATAGTTTGGATTGCTGATAAGAGCGCTTCCTTGACAAGATTCTTTCCGAGGTTTACAGAAAGCGTAATAAAATATGTAAGTTACATTTCCACAAACAAAAGCTATAACATAAGTTATTTATAAGCGTGAGATACAAACAGTATCACGATAAATAAACCATAAAGGGTACCTGCAACATTCATCTTAATGTAATTTGCCCAACAAAAGTGTTGAAACAAAGTCAAATTTAGTGGAGAAATCCGTCAGAAAGGGAGGAAAGTTGAAGAACACAAAATGGGGAAAATGGCTGCTGGGTGGGGGAGGGCACAAGGGCATGAGACCGGGCGTGAAGGTCCCTGAGAAGGCCACCACATGCGCCTGCCTGCCTGCCCCAGCTCCCCTGAGTCTGCACACGGTGACCGACCCCTGCCACCCTACACACGCTGCCATCTGCACACAGTCACCGCTCATGCCCCCTCCACGGCCCCCACCAGCCCCGCCCCAGGGAGAAAGGGAGCTCTCCTCCCCTCCCCCTTCCAGTCCTCAGCCCTCTAGTCCGCCCCCCATGCCCCCAGCCTCCCACCCCCGGCACTGTGGCTGTCTTCCTAGGGCTGCTGAGAGCCTCCCGGCCTGGCTGGGCCCTCCTCAAGGCCAGGGCCCAAAGCAGACCCAGACTGTAATCGCAGCACTTTGGGAGGCTGAGGCAAGAGAATTGCTTGAGCCCGGGAGTTTGAGAACCTGGACAACATAATGGGACCTAATCTCTACCAAAAAAAATTTAAAATTAGCCAGGCGTGGTGGCACATGCCTGTAGTCCCAGCTACCAGGGGAGGCTGAGGCAGGAGAATCGCCTGAGCCTAGGAGGTTGAGCCATGATCATGCTGCTGCACTCCAGTCTGGGCAACAGAGTGAGACCCTGACTCAAAAATAAAATGAAAGAAAAAAAATGAACAGGAAAAGAGAATGACAGGGTGAGGGGTGCTGCTTTGAAGGATGGGCAGAGCAGTGAGGGCTGACCAGGGTCCTAAAGGAGGCCAGGCAGCAATGAAGGAAGAGCTGAGAGGTAAAGGCTGAACCCAGTGCTGGCAAATTCCTGCACCCAAATCCAATCCCTGCATCCCCGATGCCCTCATCTGAACTTGCTGTGTGCTATTGAATTTAATGCCACAAACTCTTGTTAAGATCCTCCAGTGGATCAGGCCTGGGCCCAACCCTAGGACGTGAAATTAAATGCCACCAACAGTCTACCCTAAAGAAACTCCCAGGCCAGCAGGGAGAACAGGTAGCCCCACCGTGGTCAGCCCTCACCCGATCCTGGGCTTCACCACCCAGACCCTCCTCCAACTCCTCTCCCCACACAGTCTGTGACTTAGAATCTTGACTTCCTGCTCCCACAGTCGTAGTGGGGGCTTGAGGTAAAGAAAGTAGGGGGAGGTGGCTTTGTAGTCTAGATAGTCTGGGCTCAGATCCCAGCTCCCCATTCCCAGCTGCATGTACCTGAGCCAGCTGTCCTTGAAGCCTCATGACCTGTGGAGGAGAGGGATCCCAAGCAGCACCCAGCACTTGATGGTCTTTCCTTCCTCTGGCCGGAAGAGTCTTGGGCCCTTCCAGGCCTCCTCAGAAAGGGTTTTCCCCAAGTCTGCCCCACTGGGGAAGGTAGTTATGTGAAGAGCTCAAATGGCATTGCTCCCACTACCAGATGGGGAAACTGAGCCCCAGAGTTGGGGCATAGACCAGGAAATTGTGTAGGTATATGTGTTGAATACATGAATGAATGGGTGGATACATTTGGACAGGTGCTTTCAGAGCATCCTGTCATGAGAACAGGTGCTCCTAATGAGGGTGTGTGAGCCAAGAGTGGCATGGCCAGCTCAACAGCCCGTGACATGCTGTATGCACCAAATTATGTACTTCTGTCTTTTTCTGTGG